CTCCCGCGCCTCGCTCAGCCAGTGAGCGGGAACCGGTCTGTATGTGGGATCCGAACCCTCGGGCGGGAGCGCCGCCGCGCTTCCCAAGCGGTGCACTTATCCAGTGCGCCACCGGGCCGGCCCTAGCTCCCACTTCTGAGTGAGGACATACAATGTTCTCTTTCTGTGCCTGGCTTATTTCATTTAACATAATTTTCTCTAAATTCATCCAGTGAATGACTGTATTCTTTATATGGCAGAGTAGTATTCCATTGTCTATATATACCACATTTTCCTTATCCAGTTGTCTGATGATGGACATTTAGGTTGGTTCTAACTCTTGGCTATTGTAAATAGAGCTACAATAAACATGACAGTGCATAAGAAATTCTATGGGCAAAAATGTAAAAAGTAGAAGATGTAACCCTGCCCTCCAATGCTCATAGCCTCAGCTGGGGAGACAATATACACACACCAATTAGAAATGAATTGTGACACCCAAGTAGTACATGAACCACCAGAATACATTAAATAACAGATGAAAACGTGTATAAAAGAGAGCAAAGTGTTAATACTTTTTCAAAGGTTTTCAAAGTTCTCTCCTGACTATAACGTTCTCCCCTTTCCCATTCAAAAAATCTCAACTCCTTCAACCCATCTTTCTCTGAAAATACTTAACTAGACTGTTTGAAATATTAGATATAGATCTGCACCGATAATGTCCACATCACTAACCCATCTTCAACCTTTGCTGTCCGACAATTCTGCACAACTATCTCCATAGTTCCACCTCTCCTTTGTCTCACAGAAAAACCCAAGTTATCAGGAAGTCAGTTGCTCATTCCTCCAACAGAGAAAAGGAATCCACCATAACACATCACCAGTTTTCAGCTGGAAGTTGAAACAGGGGATTTATCTGAGAAAGAACAGCTGCCCCCATTACCTCTTTAAGAGAAAATACATTTTGCCAAAAAAGGAAGTATGTGATGTAGATGAACAGATGCATGGAATGTCAATGCCTGCAATTGCCCTGTGTAATGACGGACAGTAGTACTTTCCACTTTCCTTACTCTAATTTAGAATACATTGTTTAAAACATCAACTCCGGGCCGGCCCGGTGGCGCACTGCTACAGTATGCCACTTGGGAGTGCAGTGGCGCTCCCGCCGAGGGTTCGGATCTCACATACAGACCGGTTCCTGCTCACTGGCTGAGCGAGGTGCAGGCGCAGCACCGAGGTTTGCGATCCCGTTGCCGGTCCCGGTCCGGTACGGGCGCGACACTGAGGGTTGCGATCCATTGCCAGACACGAAAAAAAGACAAAAAGGACAAAAAAAAAAAAAAATCAAGTCCATCTCAAGTAGTCAGATAGCTCAACTACTGGCACTTCTTTTATGTGCCCCAGTAACAAGAAAGGAGGGCACCAGCTCTGACTGAAACCTGAATAACAGTGTGACCTTGAAAAAGGGGCCTATCATCTCAACCTCAGTTTTCTAGAAAAAAGACTTACTCATTGGGTATATTGTGAAAAATTAGATAAAGTATGCCAATTTCTAGCTCATAGCATAACTCATAACTATAAAATATATATTCAGGATTAATGCTGAGTCCACACAGACAGGCATTCCAATCCCAGGCATTGTGTAGTTTCATTAAGCATAATAAAGTGAGATCTTAAAAATAAATTAGTGACTTTTTTTTTCTTAATTATTTATTCATTCGTTTTGGGCAGCTAGTTGGTACAGGAATCCAATCCCTTGATTTGGTGTTATAACAATGCATCCTAACCCACAGAGCTAACCAGCCAGTCCCTATTCTAATTTTTAAGGAGAATATAATACTCTGTCATAGGATAGCATACTATTATATCCCTCCCTCAAAAAAATAAAGGTAGAGGTAGACCAATATAAAGAAGTCCAGGTCTACAAAGGTATATTTAATTCAGTGGCCTAAAAGGAAGCATGACAGAAATGAAAAAGCATGGACTACAGTGTCTGATGACTTGAATTTAAATTTCAGCTTGACCATGTACTAGCATATGCCTTCATTAAATCATTTATCTTTTCTGGATTGGAATCTCTGTTCACAAATGAATGATACTTATAAAGTTTTAAAAGATAAAATTAGGACCATGTACTAGCATATGCCTTCATTAAATCATTTATCTTTTCTGGATTGGAATCTCTGTTTACAAATGAATGATACTTATAAAGTTTTAAAAGATAAAATTAGATACATGAATGCTTGGTATGCACAATAAAATTTAGCTCTATTCTCTTTCCCCTATAAAAAATTAACTCAGAAAGATAGGCAGTATTCATGGTGTGGGAGTAGGGGGGAAGAGCCTATGAATTTAGAAGTCCATTGATTTATGAGGAGTGTGCAGAGAAAGTACAGAGTAGGCAGTTACCAACTGAGAAAAACACTGTCATCCAAAAGTTCACATACAAGTCAGTTATGCAGAAACAGAATTACTCCCCCTGCCACCACCTACCCTCCAGAAACTCTAACCATAAAGGGTTTAAAAAAAAAAAAAAAGCCAATTCAGCTGTAATTCACTGACAGTAGCTCCCACATGAGAGCTCTACCTCTCTGAATTTCATTCATAAAAAAAACTCACAAAAAGTTTCACAGATTCTCTTCTCTGTTCCGATGTCCCTAAACTAAATACATAGCTTTTTTGAGGTTTTCAGAAGATTTCACCATTCCATTAGCAAACCTTACAAAGAGACAATGTTTTTTAAAAAATTGTCCTTTCTATGCCCTGTATTCCTATCCCAAATGATTCAGTTCCAATTAGAAGCAAACTCATTTGTAATCACAGAATTTTTGAGATGGAGAGATTAGTCCACTCCCTTCAAAATGCAGACATGAATTCTCCTTTCCACCCTTTCGCCATTCCACCATTGCCCCTCCCTTCTTACCCATCTCAACACTGTATGGAAATATAAGGGTATGTGGATGAGAACAGTGGGTCATGGCCAATGGTAAGACTTAAAGAAGATCCAACAACATGTCAGAAGAAGGCCAAATTCTGAGGGTTTTTTCTGGGCATTTCACACTAGCAGTGACAATGACAAATCAGAGGGGCAGTAAAAAGAAGAGATGAGCCATGGATGTGATAACAAGGAGGTTGCAACAAATGCTGGAGCAGAAGCAGCAATAACAGCAAACACGCAGCACCCACCACACGCTAGGCACTGTTCAAAGCGTGTTATCCAGTTAAGCCCTTTAATACACCATCCACTCAATCTACAAATGAGGAAACTGAGGCACAGAAAGGTTAACTAACTTGCCTAAGGTCACACCACAAGTAAGAGATGGAGCCAGGATTTGAACACAG